AATACAAAGTAAAATACCAAGTCGAATGCAGTACGCGAAGAACGATGACAGATTTGTCGTCGTTCACCACCACTGCGTCACCGATGTTACCAACGACCCATGGCACACACTAATGATGATGACGACCCATGTCACCGGCCCACCAACACCGTTTCGACAGTGTATGTTGAAGGCAGTACCTCAGGGTTACCCGTGACAATGCTGACATGATACATGTGGACTGGCCCTAAAGTCAATCAAGCTAAACAGCCCGCAAACCATCGTCAGGCTTCTTTCCTCTTTCCATGCACCATACTTGTAGATTGTAGACTCTAACGGATAGAAACATTTGTGCATAGCTAGTAAATACGAAATCATGGCATCAAAACACAATGAGAGACCAATGAAGCGTAGAAAACTTGAGGCAAGTTCTTTTCATTTTTGTGAGATTTCGTATCAAGCTAATCACACTATAGTCGCCAGAAGTCCTTGGATTCCTAGATCTCCTAGATCTCAAAGCTGAAGTATCAGAGGCTGAGACCGATGATCAGAATGATGGCGACAAAGGTGTGTATTATAGATTGTAATTGTAGTTGGTACAGTGCTAATTCTTTCAAAGACGATCTTATCGACGACAATGAAGACATTGACGAGTCGATTTCGGGAGATGTGCACCAAAACCTTCTCCGTGAAGCGTTGATGCCGTCTGATGCCGACGCCTTTTGGGAAAGCTTTCTCGAGCACATCACGTCTCATCAAGATATTGGGGAAGATGTCCAAGATATCGGAAAGGTGTCTTTATGGGCAGTGGTCGTCAAGGTAAAAGTAACCCCATCTTCGGGTTATTTTTGTAATAACTTTTATACTTAGCCTGGTTATGAGGAGCAGATAGTCTTTCGAATCCATCGGCGCCTCATGGACAAGAGGTTTTCTGCACACTTACGACCCCCAGCGGTCTTTGGTTGGAAAGCACTACCTGGCAGAGTCTTTTTTGAAGGTGGTTCTAAAGAAATTATTCGCAAAGTCTGTAACGGCATATCAAACGTGCTGGCCTCAAAGACTTTCAACATCCCGGATCCTAACCCCTCCATCTTCACTCTTCCCGACACCTTTCAACCAAAGCGTCATTCCTGGGTGAG